CAAACCAGTTTCGTACAGTAAGTACAAGTTGTGTAAGATCAGACTGTTAGGTTTGAACCACTCATACTGGTAAGGACAAGTACTCTTTTCGATGAGAAGTGTTGTGGGATCTTTAACATGGTTGAGGTGTGGCGCTCCTCAAACATGAGACATCCGGCTTTACGCCCCATCCAAGAGCATGTCCCTACCTGAAGATACGTACTCATTTTTGAGTTGAGTGAGGAATTAGGTGTAAATTGCCTTGCCTGAGAACACAACAGTTGTGCTACTACTAGCAGCTACACATATTATGGTTTGTCTCTACTTTGAGTCATTCTCTTTTCCATCTCTTTCAGGAGACAACTGCTACTAGTCCTGCTGAGTCAGCAACGAAACCTGACAACAATGGTACGCTGAAATGTTGGCACTCATTCTAAGTTTGGTTTTAGAATAAGAACATTTTATTTAGAGTCAATTCCGCGTCACCGAGTGGGTTGTTATTGTCATTATTTAGAAATGTTTTGAATTCTTTGTAATTGTTTGTCTAAGAAATTTCATAATTTGGAAATATTTTGAACATCTTGTCAATATTCTAAATAATTCCCTGGTTTTCTAAAAGGTTTGAAATATTCCTGATGTGGATTATGACATTTCCAATAGTTTCTAAATATTTCTAACAGCACTCTACCATTTTTTACCATTATTTCGAATTATTTCTAACATTTTGTAAATAGGTCAGTGGGATGGGAAGGAAGTAATTCACACATCCCTGTGGAGTACAGGGTAGACTGCCTGGGTGTCAGGCATTGATGCCTTACAACAAAAGAGCCACCAGTGTCCAGCAGTGAAATCTAAAAATATACAGAGGAAGACAGAAGAGTAGGATTAGCACCTACTTTTATGGGGGCAATTACCCACATCTACCATTTGGTTATTTGTTTGAAATAGTTCTAAATATTTCGAATTGTGAAAGAAACACATGGGTAGTTCAAATTTATTCTAAAGAAAGAGATCTTTGTACAGTCACATTCAAAATGTTTCAGAAATATATAAATGAATTCAAATATATTCAAATTTTCATTTTCAAATTTTTGAAAAATTTAGAACTTTTGTTACTGGGGTATTCTTTTCTTCTAAATAATTCAAACGTATTAGAAACATGGAGAAAAAACCCACTCGGTGACGCGGAATGGACTCTATTGAAATATCAAGCAGTTAAACTATTTACGAATCTAAGATTTTTGAGAAAGATGAATAAAGTGGAACCCGAATTCCAGCTGTCGTTTTCCCAAAACTAGAAATGATATTTATGAATGCTGTGCTAATTTCTGTCCTGCAGTCCAGCGGCTCTTGGAATCAGCGGCCAGGTACCAGGAGTCACGTACGTCCTCCATGGACTTCGCAGAGGTCGAGAAGGTCACTGGGGAGGAGGGAGAGAGAAACGTCATGCAGGTGGGATTTGTTGCCATGTTTGTTTGTTTTTTCATTTCCCTTTTTTAGCCTGCAAGCCCGTAGAATGGAAACATATTTTTCCAAACACAGTGGCACGCTTTACAATAAGGATTAGGTCCCAGCTTATGCCATGAATGAGCTGTATTTGTACCCGTAACACTGATATAGCTTTAAAAGTCTAGGGAAACATCATTGATATTTGCTGGCATGTATTTGCTTTGTCAGTACAGATATTTTCAGCAATTTACCAGGTTGAACTAAAAAAATGTGCAAAATTTTGCCATTTTTGTGAGACCATTTTTGTGTACTTTTTAAAAATGTTTCCACCCCTCCACAGTGTCAGTGTAGACTCTTCCTCTTCAACAAGACGAGCCAATCGTGGCAGGAGAGGGGGCGGGGCTGTCTGCGGCTGAACGACCTCCCCACACAGGACGACGGGTCCTTCCAGTCTAGGATGGGTGGGTCAAGTACTGTTACTGTAGTTTGCTAGCAAGTTGTTATGGATTAACCTTAGTTTCCTGTTAAAGTAAACCTTGCATTTTAACCATTGATATCACAAAATAATATAAACATCATTGGTTAACTGTATAGGTCGTATATTCTTTTGTTGAACCACCAACTCCATACAGTAGGATTTGGACCATCACACACCGGGCCATTCCCCCACTCAAATAGAAATAAAGTTGACTTCACTGAGACCATGGTGTAAGGAAGACTGTTCAAATTTGGGGTACAATCTGGGTACACATGTAAATGAGGGTTAGAATCATCCTTGTAATGTCAATTTCAAGCTAGTGGATGTTCATTTAAAGACGAGAAATTTTCCTCAGTTGTCTGAGGGCTGAGTACTCCATTTGTTCTGTTGTTGACATGATGTCCTGTGTGTTGCCATAGTGATGAGGAGCCAGGGTAGTCTGCGGCTGCTGATGAACTGTAAGCTGTGGCCCCGCATGGTAGTGGAACAGGCCAGCAAGAGGAGCGTCCGTGTCACCTGTATGGACCAGGACAGGGTCAACGTGTATCTTATCATGGTGGGGACTTTGATGTACTACGTTGCAGGCTTATGGAGTCTGAATTATGCTGCAGCCTAGGGGAAAAATGTTGTTTTCTGACCGATCCTAGAAAACACTCCCGACCCTAGCCTTTTTTTGCATGGATCCCTGCAAGGGACATCAATTTTTTCAAGCTGATCAACCTTTTCCAGCTCCATGATCTGACACCTGAGTGATGAAACTTTGTACAATCAGTTTTCCAACATTGACATTGCAAATATAAGTGTCCTCGTGCAAGTTTTACTTTGTTAATCTGTATTCTATAAGACAGCTATGGAACTGACAACACTCTATCATAAGTTGGATCACCTTGCCTAAGTCTAGTATGTTTTGAAAAGAATTTTAAATTAGAATAAATCTCAATTCAAGGTCCAGAGGCAGAGTTGCTCACCCCTACTGAAAGTTTTTGAAATCTATATTGTATTTCTTTTTTAAACTCTGTCCCGCTGATACTGACAAAGTGTTACCCCACAGGCAAGCCCCAAGGATGCCAGCCAGCTCTTCACTGCCATTGAGTATCGAGTGCAGATATTGAAAAGGAGGGAGGAGAGACATGTACAGGTCCAGCCACAGTGTGAGGACAGTGTGGGCTCAGAACAGATCACAGCAGCAGCTGAAGATAGCAATAGCAGTGTGGAGGACACCAAGAGAGTGGAGGGGGAGGTGCCAGAGGCATCCGCAGAATCTTCAGGTATCACACAACGGGTGATCAGGAAATAGAGTCATGTTTAGGGATTTGTTACGACTTAAAGGCTTAATGCAGTTTTTAGGGCCTGATAAACAGATTTTTCGAAGTCAATATTCTATCTACATACTAGGTTGAAACAACACTATTGCATTGTATATTGACATACATGGATGACATAAATTGTAACTGAAAATTACCTGTACCAGGAAAATTTGACCAGACTTTGAGAAAAACTGTTCAGAAACCATTGCCATTATTTCATTCACACTTCATTTGAATATAAACCCAGTTCATGGACCTGTGTAGGTAGACATCTGAAATACCTGCCCAGCCCCAATTTTACCTGTACTAAAGGTCATATGCACCCAGTATTTCAAGCCCTATTGATCATTTGTGTGCATTTGTTGTTGTCTCTGACTTACTCTATTTTTCTTCTTCCAACCCTCCAGCTGCAGATGCTGAGAAAGAAGCTGCCCCTTCTGGACCCCAGACCACATCTCCAGCTGAAAAACAAGACTAGCTCCCACCAACCACCCTGTACAGCTAACACTTAGAATAGCCAACTCTAGCCTAGACTTTTTTGGCGATGCCTCAGTGGCGGATCCATATTGTATTCCTGGTGGTCTAACTTCTGTAACAATATCTCCAGAGTTTGTAAACCACGCAGCAGTGTAGTTATATATATATATTAAAAAAGTATGATTTTGTTTTTTGTACTTTTATTTTACAAAGTTGTTTTCCATGACTGGTGTACATGAATGTAGCAGTGGCATTTTTGGCATATCTCTGTCTCAAGTTGCGAATGTGCTGAATAAAAAAACAAATCAGAAGAAATTCCTTGCATTTTCTAGTTATTCCAGAGTTGTGACTAACAAGTTTCAGAAAAAAAGTTAAATGTCATACTGATTAGTATCCCCCCTTATCTCCTCTTTTGCAAACTGGAATAAAAAGGAAGATAACCATCATCCATATAAACTTGAGGAAAAGAACAGGTAGTAGTCATAGCTTCTGTATCTGTATAGCCGGTATGACTGCCCTTTGGCGTAACACACCAGCTTATTCTCACATAACAGCCAACACATAGTTGTAAACAAAATTGGGTAAACAATTTCTTCAAATATTGAACTACAGCAATGCACAGGATTTTGACTCGTGCCAGTCTTTGTCATTTATCCCTATTCTGTGAATAGGCTAGAGTCAGTATACCCACATGATACGGCCATAGAACAACCTGCCATCAAGCTTGACGTGTTTTTTCTCTCTAAGCACATTATGGATTGGGTAAACATATGCATTTTTCTTGCAATATCACAACTTTCCACACAAATTTTCAGACGAGATGTCCTTTGCAGAAGGATAATGGACACTAGTGCACTATACCCCCTTTTCCCTCCAGACGTTTAAAAAACAATCAGCCCTTATTTTGATGTCTAGTTTTTGAGTTACTGATTGATTTAGGCTGCACTGGATATCTACATTTGAAGCTCACTCTTTGATAGCCTTATTTTACTTTACATTGGAGTCAGCTTTCATCAGCAAGCTAAGGTTTATATAAATATATATATATTATAGATATATACATATGTATCAATTGACTGATAGTATATTTGTATGACTCACACATTCAAAGTTGTATTTAGGTTGGCTTTGTATCTATTCTGGAAGCCATTTTGCACACATGTTAGGCGTAGACGTCTAGATGATACTTGAGAAAATTAGAAATGCATCTTGATGAAAAGATGTTGATGTCAATTTGAGATACAAGATTTCAATGTATTGCTTATTATTAGGAAAAAATATTGCAAGGACTTCTGTGGGACTACTAGACCATGGCATTGTTGGATAAGCTCGCTGTGTACAGTAACTTTTTTTTGTTGTTGTTGCTTAAGGCCACACCAATTTAATTTGCTGGTTATGAAGTGACAGTGTAAAAAAAAAGCAGCCCCATTATAGCCCCAAATGCTACAATTGGAGCCATGACGTCAACACACCAGGTTGCTTTATACTTCAAACTATGAATTTTAAATCAACCCACTGCATTGATGGATGGAAAAAAACTGTAACAGCTAGAAAAACAAGGATTTTCTTCAAATGTTGGACCAAAATACAACCATTTGTTTGATTTGATGCAGGACATGGATTTTTTTCATAAATTGATTAAATTGGTGTGGCCATAAGCAAGGTGATATCAGTGGAATTATACATAAAGTGAAAGTTAACTTTTGACTAGTACATGTACATGCTGTGTTTCCTTTGCATATCCCATTTTGTATCAGAGATGTCAAACAAATTGTATATCAGTGGGGAAAAAGTTTGTGTCAAGTACTTAGTACTCTTTAAGAAACTTTCATGGTTTATTTTTTTTATATTTGATTGAAAAGGTTGCCAAATCAGTCATGACCATCATTTACTATTCGTAGACTAGGCAGGACTTTTGTCAGTTTTCCCATGTTGGCTTCTTGCACAGGAGATTAAGAACATCCAAGTCTTCACTTTTTGTGGTACCTCTAAAAACTTGATTAGGAAAATGCCTCTCTTTGTAGTCAACAGTCAAGCAGAAGTGGTTTTATAAATGGCATCTCTGTGGCTCACATATGCCAAATCCAAAAAAGCAGCAATGGTTTCAGCCTCTTAAACAGTCTCTGTAGATGCTCAAGACATGTTTGTACCCCGGGAACAAGAGGATACAAAGTGCTAATACATTAGGCCACACCAATTTGATTTGTTGAAAATATGAAGAGACAGAGACAGAGCGAAAAAAAATAAAAAGGACATCCTCTGATAGCCCCAAAAGCTACTATAGGATCCTTGAAGCCAACATACCAAACTGGCTTATAATTCAACTAAGGAATTGTTATTTTTTTATCAGACCAATGTATTGATAGATAAAACTGTAACAACTAAGAAGATGAGCTTTCATCAACTGTTTGGGCATTTTTAGTTGATTCAGAACCTGAATCTTTGTTGTTGTTGTTTTTTATGGGGGGGGGGGCAAATCAGAAAAAATGAAACAGGTGAGTCTGAGAACCAACTAATTAAATTGGTGATCCCTTATGTCTAACCTGCCTAAATCTTTGTTTCGCCCCATTTTGGTCCAAGTATTCTAGGCTGTTTTGCAGCAGTTTTCTTTCACTACTTCTCCTAAGGTGACCATTTACCACTGTTGTTAAGATCTACAGAAGATATTCACAAAATCCAAGAGCGGAAGCTTTGCAACTAGCTGTGATGTTTGCTGGTCATACAAAGACATTAGATCTCTGAAAGGCTGTTATAAACAGCTTGAAATATATCAGAAAGCAAAATACGGTCAGTATTGGAATAAAAGTGGAAATGTCAAAAACCCTGCATATGTTGCACAAACTTCAATGTCTAGATTTGTCTCCTAGATATGATTGTATGCGTAATGCTAAACATCACTCGAGTAAACAAACTGCCATTAATTTAAAACAGAACAGTAACTTTCTTGCACAAACACACAGTACAAATATGTTTATAAGAATAAGAGGCGAGATTGAAATGTTTCGTTTGGTCCAGATACTCGTACTCCATGTATCTAATTTAGAAGAAATCACACATTTCTTGGATTAGAGTGTTGTAAGTCCCGAAACATTCAGTGTAGTTTTACGTTTGTCAAAACATCATGTCAGGAACACAATTGTTTTGAACACAGTACTGCGAGATTCAAATGCTGTGTGTGCATGTTAACAACTGCACTGTTCTCTAATGAAAATTTTGGACTAGGTTGATGCCTTATGATGTATATTACATGTATGATTGAACCCACAAGCTGATGCAGCACCATTATGAGTCAGTAGATGGCGCTACTTTATTCTTGCCTCTGTACCTTGTCAGATGTCATACTAAGTATGAAATGTGGCATATATATATATATATTAAATCTCATGGAAACATGGTTGTATCTGGTTCTGTATGTTGTTGGAGTGTAATACTGCACTCTGGCCACTTGTTCTAGGATAAGGGCCTCAGATTAATGTATAATGCTTTAATCTACAATGTATGGAGGTCTCTTTTGATATAGGAAGCAATGCACTTTTGTTGTTAAACCACATAGACTTGATGATGGGGTTAAAAGCTTAAAACCGGATAAGTTTTTAATTAAGCACAAAATAACTAATCATTACATATTTAGGAGGATAAACGGATAGTAAATAATTGTAGGAAGTTTATGTTTAGGATATAAATGAATTATGATTATATCTGGTAATTGTTTATACATGTAAATATTACCATATATTTTGTTTTATTTATTATTGATAATTTAATTTGATGTTGGCAATTGGCTATGTTATTTATATTTTGTATATCAAACGTAAAAGTACTATGGTAAATATATGATTTAGACATTAATATTCGTTTAGTTCAGCATAATGACATTTGTATGTTTGATGTGATGGGCTCCCAAGCTACATTGTGTTTTTTCTATTCTGTGTACTTCAAGTTGAAAATGATACCACACGCGTTAGTTGCATAGGCCGATGATTTGTGCTCCATGCATTACAAAGAGTTTATCTGAACACTGCAAGGATATTGATTGGCATTCTACACTTTATGTGCCCATGGTCTAATCTCCAAGCAGATCTTTCGGTAGCTGCAAAGACAAGATCATATTGGCCAGGCAGTATCCATTTACTAGCCTTTACCAGGCTTTGGGAAGCGGCTGGAAATAGTAGAAATTGGCCAAATAGACAATGACATGCCAGTGCATGGAGTTGGTCCGCGCTAAGACCACAGTTTGCCGCCCCCATCTTTCCAGCCGCTCCCCGAAGCCTGGTAGAGGCTATCTATTTGTCAGACGCCATTTGTCTGGGCGGCTTACGACTCTCTAGATGGCTAGTTCTAACGTTTAAGCGTAACGCTTTTGCCGCCAAACATCTGCTTGGAGATTACCCGTTGCCGTTCCGAATGCTACAGGTAGGTGGCGTTCAACTGTCCATTTATTTCAAGTTTCGGTTCCGGCGTGTCATCCTTCGTTTCACCCTCCTTCTTCTCTGGTTTGACGCGGTAGACGAAAATCTCCACCAACCCAACGATGAGGAACAGGGCGACGCCGACCAACAGAAGGTAGAACAGGCCGATGAAGCTCTCTATCTGCAGCTGGCCGTCGTCTTGGGCGATGAACTTGGTGGCGCACTCCCCGGGCACGTTGAGGTATCGGTCCCGCAGGATGTCCATGTACCCCTCCTCGCGGAACAGCAGGATCTGCCGGTTAAACTCCGTGACGTACGGCGAGCCGCGCGGGAACATCAGGGACGTCGGCGAGCGGAAGAACCTGGGGGGTTGGCAAACGACACTGGTCAGCTTAAACTTAAAGCTGCATTATGTAACATTAGGCTGAAACAAAAATTAAACTTTCTGGTCATTTCTAGATCTCTACAAAGTGAGTTGGATCAATCCTACCTCATGGCAAATAAATGCCATCATGTCTTTAATTCAAAAGCTTGGAAACACAGCTGTCAGTCATTTTTTGTGGTAGTGCCACAAACTGAGACCCCACTAGGATAAAATTTCCCGGATCGAGCCGAATTGTTCGATCCAGCTCGAAGCAGGATCGAAGCCGGATCAAAGCGAATCATTTCGGCTCGATCGATTGGCCTGAATGTGCCCCGTGTGGACTGTTTTAGAGTAAATCAATGTCAAAATTGTGAGATAATTGAAGAAATGTGTAGTATGTGACGCCGTAAACATGTCATGTCAGATATCCGAATGGTAAAGTTACCTTTCTCCTACCACAATCAGCTTGCAGAGCTGTTCCTTCACACGGAACTGGTTCTCGTTATCCGCGATGAACACAAACCGTTCCTCCTCGGCTTTCTTCAGCAGCTTCTCCCGGGAGTCGAGCAGAACCTCGCCTTTCCAGCGCTTCAGCCTCCTGCCGAGGGTCTTGTAGGGTTCCTCGGTGCTGTTCATCAGGAACTGTACGATGGTGTTCCTCTCCAGAGCCCCGAACCTGTAGTCGCTGTTGGCCAGATCCTTCAGAGAGGAGATCTGCTGGTCCAGGTTGGTTTTGGTCAGGAAGGCGGCAAGGTTCGCCGTGTAGGAAGAGATGGCGACAAGACAGACGAAAAACCACATGGATGCCAGCACCCTCCCAGCGAACGAACGCGGGAGGAACTCGGGACCAGCGGCTACGTACGCCCCCCACACGGTCCACAGGCTGTTGAAGAAGTTGAGGCTTTTCCCTTCCTCTTCTTCGACCTCTCCTCGTTTGGCCAGCCCGCCCCACTCGTACGGATTGAGGCAGTTGTTGATCGCCAGTAGGATCGCAACGCCCAGGTTGGCGCACAGCATCACGGCCCACACCGTGTAACTGGACAGTGAGAGAGAGAGAGAGAGAGAGAGAGAGAGAGAGAGAGAGAGAGAGAGAGAGAGAGAGAGAGAGAGAGAGAGATCCACAAGTCAACATTGGCTAAGAGCGAACTTAATGGGAATTTGAAGCGTCTAGACACGTTGGCTGAAACCTCCTGGTTGTTTAAAAATAGTCTCTTTATTCATGGAGACACCAAACTGCTGAGAAGTGTTTCTAACTTTGATATGGACTGACATCGACAGTCACTGTTCGGTCCACTAACTTTTCTATTCTAAAAAAAGGCACTTACGAGCGAAATTCAAGTGTATCAATTTATCAAGACTTAACATCAGCAAAGCACTGGACAGTAGCTCACCTGAAGGGGTTGAGAAACTGGAGGAGCCCAGGGGCAGCTTTGGAGGGCCGCTTCATGATGAGGTAGTACCCGGCCATCTCTATCGGCTCCGTGAAGTCCACGGCCTTCAGTCGGAACGAGCGAGTCGCCACGGCGTCCAGTGCCAGATCGTACTGAAGAGTCGGTGAAAAAGGAAATAATTTTATCATGAAAGTTCATCTGATTTGGTAAATTATATGGTGAACATTAGACTGTTCTCGAACTCAAAGAAATTTGACATACTGGAATTTTCGACCGGGACGGGGGGCGTTACCGACTTCCGAGGAACTTTGACCGGGTGCTGACGTGGGGGAAAATCACGAGTCTATAGCACTTGTGTCAGATAGCTGACCGGTTCGTGGTGACCCAAGTACTGAAACGGTTTCCTATGGTACTTACAACTGAAGTAAGGTACAACAGTCAGGAATAGACCGATCCTGAATGACAAATAGCAGTTCAACCAATGAGAGAACGGCAGTTAGCCGTTCGACCAATGAGTGAGTGTCTGCAGTATTTGCATTTTACGTTTGACGGAGGTGGGCGGGGCTTTAGCTAAGATCAGTCTATTTGGAGATGCAGAATCGACGTCCTTACCTCCCGCCTGTGGAGCATCCCGATCATGCCGTCCCAACTGCCGTCCGTCTCGTTCTGTGACCCGATCGTGATGTTGTCGCGCACGTCAATCTGGAACGTGAAGTTCAGTCTTTTGGACATGACGTTCAGCATGTCGATGAGGAAACCTTCGTACCGGGCAACCCCTATTAGACCCTCCGTGTCGGCGTGAGGCTTCTGCCTGACCCAAGGGTCTCTCTGCAGGTGCGATGGTTAATAAGTTGATTGACAAGTCAAATAATTGATTGATTTTTATTGATTGATTGTTCGGTCGATCGATCGATTGATTGATTGATTGATCCCAAGGTTCATGTACACTACTCTATGTTCTATGAGTGATCCATCTCTTACCTCTTTTGAAATGATCCTGAGTATTTTGCCGCCCAGGACGGGGTTGGTGAAGAAACTGGAGTTGAACTGGGAGGTGAGGTTGGCGCCGCTCACCTGACTCCACCTACCGACCTGCAGGAGAACGGCACATGTTAGCAGACTGATTGGGGTTCAGCACACTTGTCTGACGGTCATCGCTGTTAGTTTACAAGAAATCTGGGACGATCCAGGCTTTTTGACACCTTTGACCCACGTCCGGCCATCGACGATCAATTGGCCTGCAAACGGGCTTGCAAAAGAAGTCTTGCAAAAGAAGTCTGGTGGAGTCTAGCTTCAGGGGGCGGTTGGAAAGAGCATAAATTGGCCAGATGGAGAGATAACACGTCGGGGGAATTGGTCTGCCAGAGAGTATATTTTGCCGCTTTAGCGGATAAGCTCCACAGGCGTGTCATCTCTCCACAGGCGTGTCATCTCTCTATTTGGCCACTTTCTACTGTTTCCAGCCGCCACCCGAAGCCTTGTAGAGACTAGGAGCAACAGTGTGTTATAGAACATGATATTAGTTACCTTGACCAAGTGACTGCCCGTGTTCTCCATCAGGTCCATGACCAGGTTGTTCCTGACTTTAACCCTCCCGTGCTGATTTGTGTAGTGCACATTACCGGTGTACCCGTCGAACTCAATCTGTTGGTACGACGGAGTCATAATTTGTTAAAACACAGCATGCAAGAGTTGAGAACTTGAGACAAAATATGAGTGGTAACATATGAGGTCATGTGAAGGGTTTCAGTTGGTAAATTCACACCGTATTTTCGTGTTGTTGAACACACATTGCTTCAAGACAGCTGAGATATAGTTTAGTAGAAAATTGCAAAACTATTAACCAATGGCGTACCCCAAATTCACACTTGCTGTGACAAGATAAACCTAACTGCTGACGATAGATCACACACGTCACCGCCCTTAATTGCAGGGTATCTTATCTACCCGATTACTTGGGGCAGATTGACCTTTGCCTAGTAATTGACCTGCAAAATACCCCATCTGCACTTTGTCAAAAGGTAGCTGTCGAAAACCAAGGTCAGTCTTATGAAATGTTCCCAACGTTGTTTACAGGTCATCGTTTAATTGATGTCTCATTGGTGCGGTATTTTTCTAGCCGTGCGGCAATGATCATTGAAAATGAGTTCGTGCATTCCATTCAACTATTAGTTGCTTGAACAGCGAAGATTTGGGTGTACAGCTTTTATAATCCAGAAGGTTTCCAATGATTACATCTGGTACGGTGTTTTTCGTCATAGCGTATTTGAGCAATTGCTTTTCTCAAGTCAAGTCAAAGCCTCCATTTATTTCTCGATAACATATATATGTGGGCGCCTCTTCTTTTCATTCACACAATAATCTATCTGACGTTGTTTAACTTCGTCCCACTGAGATCAAGGACAGTCTATCTGACGTTGTGTGAGAACCGTACCTGTGTGATGTAGTCCCGCAGACGACACTGTGCTTCCCCGGCGGTCATCTCTCCCCTGTTAACGGCTCGGGCGGCCTCCACTGCCGAGTGGGCCAGAGTCAAGGCACCGTCCAACACAAGGCGCTCGAATATCCGCGTCTGCCATTAAAAGAACATTTGTTCGTTGTCTTTTCTTGGCAAAGTATCATTATTGGCTGTGTTAATAAGTAGCCTATATTTCATTAAACCTGCAGGGTATTTTTCCTCAAAATGTGCCTCATGTGTACATGTGATTTCAAGGGCAAATACTGGATACATACACACGAGTCATTTCAAACATGCCCACGGATGCTATTAAATCTAACGCGTTGCAATACAGTAAATGTATTAGCTTAACTCTACTTACAGTGCCGCCAAGTTCAGTGTTAGGATGAAAGAACGTCACCCTGACCCCAGTATCATGGAAGTCATCGAAACCCAGGTCTCCAAGAGGGGCGTTCTGTAAAATCATGAAGACAAAGAAGTCATCAGCAGTCTTCGAATCCTATTTCAGAAATACTATAATAGTAGTTATCTGTTCAAAACAGAGAGACTTTCCCTATAAGTGATTACTAGTGTAGACTAGTTTCACTACAATTTAAAACGATGAAGCTGTAAAGACTCACCAGACTAGTGATGATCCAGTGATACTGATAATTCACCATCAGTAGATACACGGCCTAGACGTGTGCAAAAAAACAACAACTTTCTAGCGTTACGAGATCTCATTTTAAGATGTGCGCATGCCAAAACATTTCAATCTGCAGGAGAATGATCAGTGAGCAGTCTACTGAGAAAGGAAGTACATTTGTATTTCGAACCCTGAATATATTGTATAATTAGCCTGGGTACCATCCGTATTTGCTCCACCGCTAAAAATACCTAGCAGAGTGGCATAACAAATTTGGATGGTACCCAGGCTAATGTACATGTACTTACAATTTATGTGTAAAAATGAAAACTGAAAGACAAAATGTCCGTTGCACATAGTAACGTTTAACGTTTTGTCTTACTTGCCTTGCACCCTCCTCTTAGTATGCCTAAGCTTTACCCAAGCAACCTTTCATCTTGTATGTACATTGTTTTAGATGATCGCAAACCCTACCCGGTCCAGGACGTCATTGATGATGGCTGAATTGGACAACAGGATGATGTGAGACTCGCGAGATGACTTGATCTGTCTGAGAAGTGTGGTCAGCGCAGGTCTGTCCACCTTGTCCGGACCTTCTCCGATCAGAGGGATCTCCTTCACCCTCAGGAGCCAGTCCCGGTCAGCCGCCCAGTTCAGAAACTTCTCCAGACTTTTGTAGGCATCTGGAAAAAAAACAACGATCCTGTCACTTCAATCTGTCCCATAGTGGTCAATAACACATGGTCATGTACGAGTATATGACAGGCGGCCACTATAGACACGATCCTTTTAGTTAACGTCATCCAATGCAATTTCGTTGCGACAAATCCAAAAATATTCTGGATGAGTAAATCTGTCTGATGAGGACATTTACTGTCATTTCGTAACACATCTTTGTCATCATTTTCATACTTAAAGTGTATGAAATTGAATTGTATTGTATTTCAATCTATTTGAAGACATGCAACCTTATAAGTATTCAATCTTGTTTTATATACGGTAGGCTGTTTCTAGCTATTTCTGTGTGGTACCGAGAATAATGGGACTCTTCAAGCTTGTTTTGGGGCTATTATAAGCGCTTCACATATGAAATGATGATGAAAATGTGCTACGAAACGGCTGTAAATGTCAATATCAGACAGTATTCCTCATCCAGAATATTCTTGCTTGTTTTTTCGTTCCGATATTGCATTGGATGTCTATGAAATAAAGTTGTACCTGCGAATTTGTCGTACAAGACGAAGGCCGAGGTCCACTTGTACTTCTCCACCGTGTTGACGATCATCAGACTCAAGTCCGCCGGTTCCGGATATGACGTCACCCACATCCCGCTGTTAGGGGGCAAGCCGTGTGTCTCCTTGGGTTGTAAAGACATTATGACGAAATAAGAAAGACGAAATTATGAAGCACGTTAAAGGGCATCCAATGCAATTTTAGGGCAGCAAAACCGCATACACCTGTCCCCCTGGAGGGGCATGCGGAGCAATGATGAATGAATGAATGAATGAATGAATGAATGAATGAATGAATGAATGAATGAATGAATGAAAACTGGAAATATTCTGAATAAGGTCATCTTTGTTATATTGACACATGCTGCTTCACACTAGCACATTTGAATCAGTATGTCATACTTTGGGCATTTAAAAATTGCAGAAACAATCTGCGTCATTCTGTTCACAAACAAACATAAAAAAGAACATTACATACTCACCCGGCCCTAGTCGTCGTGGCGTGGGTAGCAAACAAAAAAACAAACAATATATTTCTACTTTGTTTGAATTTGGAAAACACCCTTGGTACAAGTGAAGTTTAAAGAAGCGCAACAGCAACTTTGCTCTACGTATAACGTAATGTTCTCTTTTACTGTGCATTACTTCTTTATCATTCCTCTTTTGCCGTACTTTATTTCTTAATACCTGTGGTCGCTGAACGATGATAGTGAGCAGCTCGCTGTTGTTCTGTCTGAGGTCATGGTAAGCGCAGTGGACCGCTTCTCCCTCCAGACTGTGGTCCTGGGAGACAACCTTTCTGTCGTTGTTCACCACCAGGAGGTTGCAGATTCCTCTTTGTTTGAAATAGACAGCAGCTGTAAGGGCATCGGACGAGAGAGAGTTGAAGTGAACCTATGTGTACAATGATGATTAGTGAAATGCACCTGGTCTAGCCCAACAAACTACTGCTCTGTTTATTCTTATTACTTAGAGTGAAATACATGTATGGTGAGCAGCCTCCCCAACTCTGTTCTGCTACATAATGTAACCCAACATCACAGGGTGTTGCTACAGCACCAGTTACCATGGTGACAGACGTTTGGTCCAGGTCATTTACTTTTATAATTGCTTGGAGAAGAAGAGGAAGATGAAACAGAAAAAAAACGCTATGCTTTCCTTCTGCAAAGATAAACATAACTACCGTTGTCCAGAGCATCCTTCTCCGTACAGCTTCGCTCCAGCTCCACAAAAGAGAACGTGACGTTAGGGAACTCCGGCGACAGGCTGGCGTTCCGCATCAGATCACGGACCGCCTGGCCGTACGCTTCCTTGTTACCCGCCGCATACATCACTCCTAGTGCGGCAAACGGTAAGAACGACATGGGTTGGGATTGAACATAGCCTCTACCAGGCTTCAGAAAGCGGCTGGAAAGAGTAGAAATTGGCCAAATAGACAGATAATATGCCTGGGGAGTTGGTCAGCTAAGAGAACAGTTGGGGAGCGGCAATATCATCCTATCTGGACAATTTCTACTCTTTCCAGTCGCTTTCCGAAGCCTCCTAGAGGCTAGAAATTCAGACAATTGCAATCTATTCGAATGAAAGTTCATCTGTGTTGGTACGTAGAATCCATAGTTTATTTGTAGTTGTATGATAAATTGCAATCCGACATAAGAAGTCGAAGAAGCTTAAAAAGAAGTAGCTTAGAGAGAATTATTGACGAGCTTGTAAACAAAATAAGTAATGCATAACCCTATGGGTTCAATCTCCTACTTGGCTATTCTGGTGGAAATATGTAATCAAGGACAAGTCCTTGAATATAGTATGGGGATTTCTAATTATTAAAAGCAGTGAAGTTACGTGCTTGATAGCACGCACTACGTTCGTAGAAAACACATCGTCCATCTGTGTGGAAGGGGTGTGTGTGTGATTATCACTAGAGATTGAACTCTAGTTAAGTAAAACAGAAGAGTAGGTTCGTATATTTTGCTTGATGCTTTTATTTGATCGCAAAAAGGGGCTAAATGGCAATGTGGACGTTGATAAATGACCATGTGTTCCTGCTAAGGTCTATGTCCTTGACAAGGTCACACAAACTGATTTTCAGGGCTGATCTAAGCTTAAGGGCACTGCGTATGTCATAAATACAGCGCCTCAAGTTTACTTCTCTTCGTTTCGCAGTGATGATATGGGTGTTAAGCCCTGCAAATATATGCCCCGAGGACACACGTGTGCAATAACTCTTATTCAACCTCTGTCAAATAACTGCGATATTTGACAAATAGCCACTCAAATGATCAACTTTTTTTGTTTTTTGTTGTTGTTATTTTATGGATACGTTTTGTTCTTCCTTTTATATATCTATAAAAAGCAACCAAGTTTCTTGTCTAAAGGACAGCTTAAGTTGTTTTTTATGCTGCCAACTGTACTCGAAATAATTCTGGGTGGGGTTTTATGGATATCAAAACAACGCCAGTGTGATTCACGCATTGAAGTGCCCTGTACGCATAGGAGAGGAAAACCGAGGAAGTCAGAGACTCATACTAGTAAAACTGAATGTCATTTTTGCTAAGAGCAAATTTGTTCAACACGGGCAAGGCTAAAAGCTCAATGATAGGATCTACGAAAAATCGCCGACTGACTCAGCCACCCAGCCAGACCTAACATTTATAATACTTAGTGACCTGTACACTGTTTTCACATGGCTTCCTTGATATGGAATTTTACAAACCGCCCCTGGTAGTTTAACTGATACACACGATTCTCGGTTTACGCTTCCCTTTCCCTTTTTTTCTAGAAGACAAAACATGGTCTGGGGAACCATGATGTATTTCATTGTTCCTGTCAAGGAAAAGAATTTAAAGGTTTTGTACAGTCTGTGATTATACACGTAGTGACAATAGCTTATTTCCAACTCTGTGCATTTGTTCTGTTCAAATTACATGGCAGAAGGACAAAAATGGACCAAAAAGGCCCAGTGCATGAATCTAAACTTCTTTTTAGCTCGGTAGCTAAATGATGCTGGTACAATGAAGAAAAGAAAACACAACATTTTTAGGATTTGGAGATCAACAGTATAGAAAAAGGACGTGCACATGGTCAGCAGGATCCCATGACATATAATCATTTCTACATCACTGATTCCGTAAAAATTACAATAATTATTGGAAACCAACAAAGACTAAGAACACACAAAATGCCAAGGCTTACCGATATTGACGTTTAACGTGAAGACGCTCTCAACTTGGATCAGAAGGAGACCCAGCAGTAGCCCCAGGGTCCGGGAGGGCGGGGGGTTCTCACGAGTAATGGGTCCCATCTTGTCCTGTACCCGGTACGCACAGATTTGAGTGAACGTCGTCCCTCTAGCTGCAGCTGGTCAGCAGTAGCAGCAAAATCGCTGGAAATGGTCACGATATGCTGGATACCTACGCGGTTCTTCAACCCCTCTATTCACTGCTTTTCACCCGATAGGCTGAACCACTAAAAGCTTCAACCAACTGTTGATAAGTTAGTTGAAGATCCTGTTCAACTTGATTCAACTTGCATGAGACCTACGTATACCCTTTTTGACCGTCACGTGCACTGAAGCTAGCGTTCTTGTCGTAATATATATCTCCGAGCAGATCGTTTTGTGGCTGAAAGACAGTATCAAATAGGCGAGACGGTATCCATATGCCACCCGTTTGGTCGGCGTAAAAGGAGATAACAGTATGAAAACGAAAGCCCGCTAAAACGCCTAAAACACGTCAAAAATAAGCAGAAGCGTATACCTGCCTGGAGAGTATGCTTCCCGGTGACACAGAGAGTTGAAACAAGCCTGCGGCTCCGGTGCTGACCATAGGCACACCTACAAGTGACGCACGAAAGTCAGCCTTGTGCACATTCTGAGTCATGATAAGGTAATTATGTCCATTGTCCTGAACATTAGCGCATGGCCAGTCGGAGATGATAAGTGGTACCTTAAATCATTACAAATCGGGATGGCCTTGAGCACGGCTCTATGATTTTGCCTTGTCTATTTTTGTGACGTGGATCTTTAAAAGTACTGCTAGGGCGTCTGCGGAGAAAGCTGCAACACTTGTAACATGTAATCAAAAAACACAACAACGCGAAAACACGCACAACAACAAGCTGAATCCACACCCTTGTTTCAAGGTTACAAACATGCCCTGGGTGAGGTTACAAGGGAATGAAAGGCGACGATAGTATAAGTATAGGTCGATGATTAGAAAATAATTAAGTGTCGAAAATGTGGAGAAATGGTAGCGTCTCTTCTTCTATGGCTACCTGTGAAGCTACTGCCACAAACATTATATATCTTCCGTGCAAGTAGTCACATGAAGCTCGCAGAGGCTATGCAAATGATAGACATGTCATCAGGTCATGGTGTGCCTCAGGGCATGGTCTTTTGACCACTATCGTTCCTACAGGCAGAACTGCATACCATACTAAGATCAGTGGTACTTATAGATGCCTACATAAATAGATAGAGAGATGGAAATGCTACTTTCTCTTGGAATGAAACTGCCACTGGGCGAAAAATCTAGGATCTCTTTTTGCCACATACCGACGACCAAGACCTTCTAAAAACCAATCATAGATTTGAGCCCACTCGTTCACAAACAACTTTAAACATCCAATGAAGCGAAAGGAAACGAAACATGACCTTCTCCGCGGAGGTAAAAGCTAAAAATAGACTTTCTGTCTTTAACAAAGAACCGCAACAAGCATATTTACAGATCTTCAAACATCTGACACCTGTTTGAATGTGTCGACCCCGATCCCCCCGTGGGTGATTTGGTATGGTCCGGATCCCGGGCCTGTGATTGGTCAGCCCCCTTGGAGCCTTCCCAACATGGCGGCCGGGTGAACAAGTGTTTTTTCGTCCCTAAGTGTCACGGCCAGTGACTTCGTGTACAAAATCCTCCGACAAAAATACCACCGTTTATCTAAAGGATTTCCTCCCAGGAAAAACTCAACCTCAACCTGGACCAGGTAAATGTTGACATTAGCTACTGTTGTTTAAACCGACTGTCCAATCTCTGTTTGAATTTTGATGGTTGTTTACGAAATGTAAACAAATCGCTGTTTGCTTTCTGACCCAAATTTGATGTCTGTTTTGATGTGTTCTTCCTTAAGACATAAACAGCCCTAAAAATTATCCTTTAGCCTTTTTTTAAAATACGCTTAAAGCCGCTTAAACGATTGTTCTTGTCACGCCAAATTCTGGAATGTGTTTTGTTACCCCTGGATTCCTTTCAATAAATTATTATTCATGTTGACATAATAGACTGTCTTAAGGTTTTCGGCTCCTTGGCCTCTTCGATAATTGACTTGTGATGTCGTAAGAAACCTAGACAGTCTGCTCCTGTCTAAGATTAGTTGTAATCAAAACCTATACACGTTGCAGTACTGATATGTTTTATATTATATATTGACCGATTTGTAAAATATTATGGATGCCATTTCACTCCATATGGTAACTCTGGTTGAGTGATAAAATTTTTTCTGACTTCTGATCTTTGAATTACGAGCTAAATTACAGTACTGGCCAGAGCCTTCATTTTGACATATTAAAACTGGTTAAATTACTCGTCAATAGCTCATTTGTGTAAGTTAAACAGTTTTATTACTGGTGCAATAAGCTTAATTAGGAGGCTATATTTCAACCTTTGTAAAATGGTCTACCATAAGTGACCCTAACAACCACCTACATGTACATACAACAAATGCCAAGGAAACTGCCTTAACAAGCTCCTACCACCTGAAGTCTCAGGAAGTAAATGTGTAGGAGTCATCTTACACTGGTCACCGTGCAAGTGAGTCCTTCGCAGTTGTGTGTAAGTCACTTGACATTGGTGTAAGGATCAGCCCTCAACATTTGATATTCAGTCTGTGTGTGTCCAAGTCTTGGAGAACCCTTCCAAGTTAAAGTAAAGCAGTCATCCCCATCCAAGGTGAAGTATGTTGCTTTGTAGTTCGGCTAGTAGTCAAGTGTAGTGCACCTTCAGTACGGCTGGTGTTTTCAGCCAAGCATATCAAGTCACTAACCTCTACCAGGCTCTAGGAAGTGGCTGGAAAGACTAGAAATTGCTGCTCCTGAACTGTAATCCCATGGCATGTTATCTATTTGGCTAATTTCTGCTTTTTCCAGCCACTTCCTGAAGCCTGTTAGAGGCTATCAAGTCGCCCCTACTAGTAATATTGATATTTGCAAAGGTTTGATACCTGAAGCACTCTTACACAAGGAAAATTTCTAAACAATCTAGTGAAACATTTTGTTGCCATTTTTTTCCATCTTTTTTGCCACTCAGCCTTTAATGTTTTGCATTTCATTTTGGACTGGTATGTTGATCCTTTGGCATTGTTTTCACCTGTGTCACTTCACGACGGTGTTAAGAAGGTGCTTCCCATGCTGAAGTGTGTGTTCAGCTGTCTGCAGTGAGATGACTTACAAAAGTGCGGGTGACTTCAGGTGAACCTAAGGCTCTAGAAGGGTTTTTCGTGCCCCTTTTTGCCAGCTTTCTTCTGTCAGGTTTTAGGTAGTCTTTATCGGCTGATCGAAATCATTATTAAAATCATTACAGGAAAAAAATAGTTAGATATCTGATTTAAATATTTAAGCTAAATATATCTTTTTAATATGATGGTTTGGTTGCCCCCCATGTTGAGCCTAATGTTGTAGTTTCGAAAAGTCGAAAAGTGGTTTTGAGTCAAAGACGCAATCGGAAGGAACGTAAGGGCATCCCCATTGCCTAGCAACAAGCGTGTTGCCAGGAGACACAACTTGCTTGTGCGAGAAACACGCAGGTTTTCAAACAGTCCGTCGAGGCATCACTTTTGCCAGTTTACGTGCTAACGTTTCATTCCTTAAGCAAGGTAAGTTTTATGAATTTTTAAGGCATTACAATGTTGTTCCTTAGTACAGTTGAAGGTTTTAAGCACTATTCCCAATGAAATTTTCAATTCAATTCAAGTCGAAGCCACACTAAGTCTGAATTGTGTTGTTTTGGCAAAATGGTCAGTGAGCACTTCATCTAATCCACTATGTTCATTATCCAGTAAAAGATTAAAAATGGCCCAAAATCTATGATAGACATGATTGAAATGAATACAAATTCAAAAACAATCACACTACATTAGAAATAGATTTTGCCTAGTTGCCTAATTTTTTTGACATAAGACTCCTTTACCTGAAAATAGAGGCTCAACTTGTCAAGAAGTAATGTTAAATCCTGGAGACCAACAGTCTTACCGTGCACAGTGATCATACATTATTAATCCTAACGTTGATCGATGGCTCTTCTGGTTAAGTGCAGGTTACGGGAAGAGGAATAACAGTTTATTAGTGGTTCAGGCAACTGTAATTTGTGGATTGTAATTTACTGAACACAAATGACTTGACAGCTGTATCATTTAACTGTAACAGTTGTAGGCCTTTCCCTGCCTGTGGTCTATTTTTGTAAGTATTGCTTAATTTGTATTGCACAGAAATAGGGTTAAATTTATGAGCAATGTTGAAATCAAATGAAGAAAAATCTTTTAAAGACACTCAGTCTGACAGACAGAGAAAGAAATAGATACAGAGATAAAGTAGAAGCCAAGAAGAAAGCAGCAAATAGGGAAAATAAGTATAGAGGCCTTTCTTGTTAGACAATCATAATGTAGTTCAATTTTATATAATATTATAGTTAAGCCAAGACATCAGAACCAAAGACTGTAATTTATAGTGAATAATCTCATCACAATGATTACATGGTGAAATAGTATAATTTTTTTATTTCTTTTGTGATGTTACTACGTACATCTACATACATCTACAATGTTAAGGTAAAACAGTATACTGTTAGAACTAGATAGAGTATCTAATATACATTTTGGCTGTTCAGGCTCCTTCCTTGGTGCCATTGTTTCCAAACAATACCTGTGAGAATGATACTGTTATTCCAAGCCATTAAGTCATACATTATTTACCATCTTTTACTGCCTGTGCATACTGTAAGATGTACAAATCTATATAATAGATGACAGAAAAAAACACAATGCATATGATCAAACTTTACGTTTGACGGAAAAAGTTTCACGAAGTCTAGAAGTTTATGTTCAAGGGTGAAGGTTCTTTATGGTCTTGACTCCTCCCCATGACTATTTATATCCAGTCTTCGGTGAAAGAGAAGACAACTAACGGTCCCACCGAGTGCGTACTGTAAACAAAAAGTGTTTGTTTGCCTACACGTGTCCGCTAATACCACGCCAGTTTCCGCATGACATCACCCATGCACTCCGTCTCTGTTGTACAACCAACAAGTGGCATTTTTTTCCTTTTCACAGTGAATGAAACTTCGAGTACGAATGTTTTTGGTTCTTACTCAGCCTACGAATCAACCACATGTACATACCAATGCCAGAGGATATCCAATTTTGCAGACAAATACTACATAAACAATTATTGTTTACATTTTTAACATACAATGTCTGAAAGAATTCTAAAGTCTTAGGTCTTTTGGCATATCATAGATACATTTCAGTGATATAGGTACAACAGAACATGTAATGGATTTTCTGCCCATGGGGTTAAGAGTCATAGTGGCAACAGTATCGTTTGGTAGGGTTTATTATGGTTGGTTTCTCACCCATTGAAGTTGCCAGGTAGCGCCTTAAACAAGCAGGTGTCACGTCACAGGGCTTTGTCTTACCGTATTGTGACCCTGCCAAAATAACTGTGTCAGCCAATTCATCAATAACTTTATTGGCAGGATGTTCAGAAAGGTGCCCTCTAGATCTCTCTGCAGATTTGTACTTTACTGATGTTTTGGTAGGTATTTTGTCGTTCTTGTTTGTTTTTCTCACGTTCAAATACGGTGATGCGTGTAAGCGTATACTGAGCAAAGAGTCATTTGATGTGTTGTAGTCTCTAAACATGCGTACAAACTGATCCATGGTCTGAATTTGAATGGATCACACAAGATACAAGAGGATGTAACACAATTGTGACAGTTATAGTACATAACTGCATTTTATACAATTTTATACATCTGATATATAATTCTACAACTGCAGCTCTGCAGTTGTTTTAGGATCATCAGACAACGGTAATTTGTATATATTAAGTGTACCAGACGTGGTTATACTTTATAATTATACTGATGTGCAATCACTACAGATAGTCCACTGGTTACTATTTAGTCATGCATTGTGTGTGTTTTTAACTCCCAGTCTCTTTCCCAAATGCTGAATGCTAAGCAGAGAAAGCATTATAATTTTATGTGCCAGTTTGAAAGTCTTTGGTATGACTCGGCCTAGGATCGAACTCACAACATACCAAATGCGAAGTGAACACTTTATCACCACTTGGCCATTGCACCGATCCTAAACAAAGATTACCAGTGAAGTACTAATATTAATTTTATATATTATGTTATATCTCTGCTCAAACAGATGTTGCGATGATGTAGAACCATCCGAAACAGACAGTTGTGCCATCAGGAAGCCACCATGTCCATGGCCAGGAATGCTCCGTTTGGGACGGACGATACGCCGGAGATCGAGGTCAAGATCATTGGCAGTAAACGTGTTCAGGTCCTGCGGGAGAAAAAACATGGGTAAGCATAATCATCTTTGCTTATCATAAGACTTAGTATTTAGTTAACTTTAACTAGTCAATCAAGAGCATGGCATGTTGTTTGAAATTTGGTATGGACTTTCCCTCAGGGAGAACAACTTTTCAGTTCTTCTGAAGTTTTCAAAAATTATCAGTAAAAGTTCTGCATTTCTTTTCTGGCAATATTTTGTTTTTTCCATATCCTGTGTTTCATTCCCCTAGTACATGTACATGTAGCTGGATTTAGATTTCATACATATCAAGTTTATAACAGGTGACTAATCTAATATAGTATGTAGAATGATACATTTCTCATGGCACAAACTGGAAGATTCTAGTTGGTTGCACTAATTTAAAAAAATAATTTTACTTTTTTTATGTTCCTGAATGGGGATTTGTATTGAGTAATGTCAGGTAACTATGCTTTCTTAATCTTTTATTGTGAACATATTATACATGCTGAATAAATAGTATAACGATAAATAACTTTTGTGTATTTTTCTTCAGGAACCCCCTGTTGGCCCCCCTGCCTGACAGCCCATCTCTCCTGACACAGCCAGTCTACAAGGACTACGAAAACCTGAGCAGCTCTCATATCAAACAGGGCTATACTACTACTGATCAGGTACGGCATAAAGACACTGCAAAATTCAAATTGCTCTTATGTCAAGTTTTCAAAAATCACAAAGGTCTGAAAAGAATGAAGCAAATTTCAAAAGATTCAAAAAAGCACTTACTAGGTTTTTTTTTACAAAGCTTTAGGCCCTTGGAAAGATGGAAAATTTACAAAAATGGATCACCTCCTAAAAATTGAATTATAGTTTTGGTTCACTCTTTTTGCAAAGGTGGTAGAAAAGTGCTGCTAATGTTTTGAAATGTTCTCGTTTTTTGTAAATACATAAGATGTTTAGAAAGGTGTATGGTCAGTTATAACTTTTTTCCGTCTGCATGTTGACAGCATGAGAGAGCCAAGTTAGTTCCATCCCAGACTGCCCAGCCTGACAAGAGTAACTCCCAGCTACACGGAACCAACTACAAGGTCAGCTCCAAGGTCCTCCCCCCGATCAGTCGAACCAGCACCAGTTCTGACGGCTCGGGCGGTCAGAGCTCCGTCTTAGGAGAAGACCCCACCATCGCAAACCAGCTCCACAAGATACTCAAGAAATACGACACCAAGAAATTCAAGGACATGTACGTGGAACTTGTCGGGTACGACCGCAATCTTACCGGTTACGTCAATCAGTCGCAGCTGAATCTGGTGTGTTTGCGGCACCAACTTCCGCTCACGGGATCGACGCTGCAGATTATGTTCTCGCGGTTTGCGTCCCCGGAGGACGACGAGAGTATAAACTACGAAAAGCTGCTGCAGTTTCTCTCGGCTGCACAGCTGAACAAGCCGGTGAAACAGTCGACACTGTCGGCGACTGTGGACAAGTTTATAGGAGGAGGGGACAGTACTAGCTCCTCACAAAAGTCAAAGGCTGGGAGCCAGACTGCTCCAGAGCTGCGCATCAGGCAGAAGTCACACACACAGGAGAACATCCTAACAAGCCCAGGTTCCGGGCTAACAAGTCCCAGTATCAGCCTCCCCCAGACAACCTCTACAATAGGTGGGCAGCTGAAGCCAGAAAGGTAAAAGTAAATTAAACATCAGGTTGCTTTGGTCTTTTCTGCATAGAAAATCTTAAAAATAATAACATGCAAATTAACTGATTCCTGAGAGTTTGTGCAACTTATGAATTTACATTTAAAAGGATTAGGAACTGAAATGAAAGTACATTTTAGGGGACAAAACAGTTAATTTTGGATGATATTTTGGATTTTCAATGCAAAATTTAATGCACTAGATGTGTACATGGCATTGTGTAATGGAATTAGACAAGCCTATTTGCATGTAAAAGAGGTGCAGAAACAATTCCTGTCTATTCCTCCAGCCCTGTGGCCAGACACCGCACGGGAAGCTTCTCAGACCGCGAGGCGGCCAAACTTCTCCGCCTGTTAGAGAACCAGTTCACGTCCTTGGAGTCAGACGACCTTGACCTCCAGGCTGTGAGGAACACGTTTGAGGAGGTGGACAGACAGAGAGCAGGCATGCTGTCACGGAAACAGGTGTGTTGACAAGGATGTTCTTACATCAAAGAATAAATAAGAACACTGCTTGACATTGTTGAGAACACTATGAAACAGGGAAAGTTAAGTCAGGCATCTTCAAAGTAGTTGGAAAAGTGCACAGTTTGTGCATCTTATACTGTGCTTGAAAAATGCCTCCGTGAATAGTTATTGGGATGGTAAGACACTGAGTAAAGAGACAACCAAGTGTTTTATAAAAGACTTGGTTGTGTAAAAAGAGTCTTGTTGTGTAAAAAGAGCTTGGAAATATACTTCAGGACTGCTCTCCTGTAGAAGTTAGATGTAAGATAAGACAAACTATCTTAATATCTCTAAAACCTAACCTTTTTATCTAATGTACTCGGAATTGGTGTTCTATACTGATTGTGTTCTGTGTTTTGCAGCTTGAAGATGTAGTTGTGAAACACAGACTGCCGATCCAGGGTTCCCTCATGGAGAAACTACTGAAGAGGTGTGAGGTGGAGGCTGGGCTATTCAGGTAAGAACCTTATGTCACAAGTTATTGCTAGACGTAACACCATCTTTACAATACAAACTGTAGTCAGTAAAGGGTGAGGAAAGTCTTTCAGCACCAAGGAAAGGGTTGGTTCAGGATAGTACAAAGCGGGGGAAGGTCCTTCAGCACCAAGGAAAGGGACAGTAAAGGATAGTACAAAGTGGGGGAAGGTCCTTCAGCACTAAGGAAAGGGATGATTTTTTTGCCAATGAATTACATGTACTTCGTGTGAAGCTAATTTTTTTCCTTTGGAAGTTGGTACGGCACCTACCATTGCTTGGTCTGACAAACTAGAATGCAACTGTGAACGTATAAAACAACATTGGGGAAAAATACTCAGAACATGGACCAGTGGTGCTGGTGGTACAATGTTTTGTCAGAAAAGATAGTGTCTGGAATGCAGGCAAAATTCCAATGCAAAATTGACCAAATATCCAACAAAATATGTGAAAAATACATCTTTCATGCAGTTGGTAAGTTAAGACCTGACACTCCCCTTGTTCGCTGTAGCTGGAAGACCCTGGTGGAGTTTCTGGAGAGAGTGAGACCTCTGGAGATCCCCTCCAAGCAGAAGCAGGGTGTGAAGAGACCGGGAACATGGCCTCGGAACAAGAACAACACGGCCCCTCCCTCAGTCTCTCCTGAAGTACCCAAACCTCCGCCATGGGAAACCAGGAAACCTCTGGAGGTCAGTTTACATGTAGATTCATAATTTCAATATTGAACTATATGAAATATATAATAACTTGGTTTGTGGACAAGAAAACCCAATAAGTATAAAAGAATTTATTAACAATAATAGTACAAATACAAGTACATAAAACTGATATGCACATAAGTACAAATTAACAAATAAATCTCCTACTAATACTGACTTAAAATCAAGATTGAAAATTAAGTATTGATCTCTTATCAGTATAACAAAATTATCATCATTGGAATAAAACCATTAACTAGCATGGAATTGATCAATCATTTTCTTGAACCACATAAATTTTGACACAGTCTTAAATTTACTTGGTGATACATTCGATATAAATGTTTCCTATAATAACTATGAACTTGATGCCATCTTGTGTTGAGCAGAGGTTGGAGAAGCGTCCTGTCCTGAGCCCAGAGGAGCCACAGATTGAGAGAATTTCCCACACCGGGAACACCAGCACCCCCTCCAGCTCCGGTGGACTCTCCCAGGGCACCAACGAGGACGAGATCTCGCCGCGGACCTCGCTGGAGGATTCTCAGCGGGATCTGGATCGGCTGATCCTGGCTGCGCGGGAGAAGCAGCGTGCGCGGGGGAAGGCGGCGGTGCACCTGGAGGACCAGGAGGACTGGGACCAGCGCTTCCTGCACCTGGCCAAGGCACTGTTTAACTGTGACGAGCTGGGAACAGGTCAGGGTTACTGTAGTCTGGTCATTAGGACTTCATACCGAGGGAGTCAAGTACAGTCAGACCTGTACATTAGGGTCAAGTGACCACATCTGCATAAGGAAAGGTCTGAAAGGTCATTTAATACATTTTCAGACTGAAGCAATTTTTTCTTCAGTAAATCAGGTGAAATATTTGTCCACAAGCAAACAGGTGGCTGGGTCCTTGAAGCAGTCCCAATTTTAGCCAAAATCTTTTTTAAAAAAAGAAAGAAAACAGTATCATCAGAATCATCATTTGCATACTAAGATCAGACGCTTCTACTCTTCAGGAACTCTTTCTTCCGACACAGTTACAATTTACTATAATTATAATACATCTAGGTTATCTGTATTACTTGTATGTCCTTAGAATTTTGTATTGTTATAACATGTGTTGTATATGTATTTTATGGGTTTTTTTTTTACCTGAAATAAAGAATAAAACAAAGTATCCCTAGCTACTGACCCTGTTTTTTTCAGGACTTAAACTAGAAACACAGCATTAATTTTCTTAGGCATTATCAGAAACCTAAAATAAATCTAATTTTCCCCCCTTCATCTGTTGCTCTAGGATACTTGGAGCTTCCTGAAGCCAAGAGGCTGGTGAGAAACTACAACCTCATCTACAACCTGGGCTTTGAAGACGCTCGCATCGAAAACACCCTGACCCAGTGTTCCGCTGACGGAAAGGTCGCGCTAGAACCACTCATACAGTCACTCCGCGTAAAGCTGTGACCGAGAAAACAAACAAACAAATATTATTGGGACTAACAAATAAGACTTAAATATAGTACATATTTTTCCCTAAGCTGAAAATTCTGCAATTTCATAACTTGAAAAACTGCATTTAGCTTTTTAACATTCGTTTTTTGTTGCAAACATTTTAAACCATATTAGAGTCTCATAAGCCTGTTTCTGTTTGAAGATTTTATGACAGGCCGTGATTTTCACATCAATTATAAAATGCTGCTCTTATAAATAATCATGAGTATATTTCAGATCATTTAAAATAAGGACTTCATGATCATTATTAGCAGTTTGGTCAAGGTAAATCTGCACCAGACTTTCTGGTATAGTCTATTGTCTAATCCAAATATTTGTACAATAATTTCAGTATATAATGGCAAGTAACAATGATGTATTATCTATATTTTGCCATTACATGCTGTGTACTGGAAAAGAGTTTTACTTAATTTGTAATGTACTAAGTGATTGATCTCTAAGTGAATGATCTCTGATCTGTGTCTGATCGCTTTGCTTGTATTAGCACTCTTACCACAGTACCCTGTGAAAAAAGGATTTGTGATGTCATTTCTGCTAAAAGTTGCTATTGCATGAGAACAAAATAAGAAAGCCACAAGATGCCACAGAACAAAGTCTTGAGGAGTATAACTTTCTTACACTACCATGTTGCTCTGCCGGTATGTTGTTTTTGTCCTTGTTGCACAGTTAAAGCCAGTATGTTAGTATTTGTAAACTTCTTGTTCTTGTGTATGATTGTATATAGTGGTACAGGCTTGTACTTGTATAGGATTGATGCGTACTTGCATATCAAACACATTGTGTCTGTTCAACAATTGAAGTGAATTAAGAAGAATCATATTGTGTAAAATTTTGAAACAATAATGTATTCAGAACATATAGAAAGGTAAGTATATTGTGTAATTGTAGACGACTGAGGAAGAAAAAGTTTAAATTAAAAAGTATCTTTGACATCTAATCTTGAATAATGTATTACAAAGTTTAACATAGATTTTAATAAAGACACATGATATGATATTAATTACTAGCTCTACATACACCTTGTACACTTTTGAAGTGTTGATAGTATTTTGTATATTGTATATTGTGTCCTAACTACTGTAACTGCCTGTACTGTATATTCTGTCATTTGTGTACATTTGTACAAAAATGCACTGCTATATTTGTGGAGCTCTAAGTACTGAGATTGATATGTTTATGCTGAACACACAGTCTTTACACAAATTGTACTAATGCTAACATTGTCTGACTGTTTCTTTATGAATGAATAAATGAATGACCTCAACTTATTGAATGATTAAATAAATAAACAAATAGATAATTACTGAATGATTGTATAGATTAACAATGTTCAATGAGGTTCATCTTCATATAGCTTCCAAATGCCTGGAAGTTCTGGGGCAAAATCGCCTAATTTCTATCACAAATAACAAATGTCATGACACAAACTTTTCATAACTGTTTTTGAAGAGGAGGAGGCGTAGTTTTGGGAGTGTTTTCGGCGGGCTTGGTAGCAAAAGTTGCCGGGCGGTTGTAAGGAGGGAGCCGGTGTTGCTCCGCGTAAACTTCGGCGCTCAGCGGTACATTTTAAAGTCATTTTACAATCATAGATTACTACCCCCGTTAAACTACACTACACCTCCGGCCCTGCCGCGACATCTCCGGCCGGGCCGCAACATCGGGCTCCTCCTAGGCTTCAAGGCCGCGACCATCCCACGGTCTCAGATACGCCGCACCGCATGGCCGGTCAGATTGCCGCTAGCTGGCCGAGCACGAATCGGCCTAGCCCCCGGGCCTGGCCCTGGTACTGACTGGCACTTCCAGCCAGGGTTCCCTCCCTCTGTTTTTCTCACGGATAGAGCCACACAAACGTCGTTCGGTAACTTGTGGAATAACACCGAGATGTGCCCCTTTCCTCGGCTTCAAGGCCGCGCGACGACAGTCCAACGGTCTCAGACACGCCGCGCCGTATATTCGCTCAAACCGCCGACTGAAGTGTGCCGACTTTGGAGGAATGTACGCTCAAAACCGGAGGAACGTCCGCTCACCTGGAGGAGTGTACGCTCAAACCGCCGACTGAAGTGTGCCGATTTCGGAGGAATGTACGCTCAAAACCGGAGGAACGTCCGCTCACCTGGAGGAGTGTACGCTCAAACCGCCGACTGAAGTGTGCCGATTTCGGAGGAATGTACGCTCAAAACCGGAGGAACGTCCGCTCACCTGGAGGAGTGTACGCTCAAACCGCCGCCGTGAGAAGTGCGCCGATTTCGGAGGAATGTACGCTCAAAACCGGAGGAACGTCCGCTCACCTGGAGGAGTGTACGCCCAAACCGCCGCCTGAAGTGCGCCGATTTCGGAGGAATGTACGCTCAAAACCGGAGGAACGTCCGCTCACCTGGAGGAGTGTACGCTCAAACCGCCGTCTGAAGTGTGCCGATTTCGGAGGAATGTACGCTCAAAACTGGAGGAACCTATTAGTAAACATCCTTTGCTTAAGAATCTATTGGACATGCCTATTGGTCAATCAGCAGCCAACACGTAAAATGTGAACATTAACCATGATTATATATTTTGCGGTTATACTACAGTAGTATATGAGCGGATCAGCAGATAATTCGAAGCACTAATATCATTAGCTGCTAGGGGTCGCTTTTAAATGAACAATGTAAATTCGTATTGGCAATTTTACCATTAAGAAGTACCATTGTAATCCGCCAGGCGGCATTTTTGACACGTGGCGAAAAATATGCGATACAGTCTGATAATCGACTGCACGGATGGCAGCCATTGAGTTGTTTTCTGGACCGTACTGTGATGTTTGTTGGAGAAAAGGGGAGAAAGTACGCAATACAGGTAACTTTTATGAATTGATTTAAGTTCTGAAGACTCTTGTGTTTCTAACTATCCAAGGTATCTTTGTCTGGCGTCAGTTAAACTGCTAAAAATCCAAGGAGACGAGGCTCGGCTCGGTGTTGAGTTGATCTAGCCTTGGTAACCTTTTTTCACGGGCCGAATTAAATGTGTTTCACCGGCAATTGCTGTAAGAATGTCTTTTCCTGGCAGCCTATCTTCCTAGTCGGCCTTTTTGCTCACTGTCGTGCTAAAATTATCGAAACCGACCCCGTAAAAATGCCCTGACCTGCGTTAATGTGCCCGGCGGGAGGGGAGCAGTCCCAGCGCCGTAGAGATGTCGGGGAGCTCCCGTGGCACGATTACCAGGCTAAAACCAAGGCGCCTCCTTTTAATACTTGATAATACAGACACCAGACAACTGAATTAGTCAAGACAAACATATTCTGTGCAATGGGCCGACTTAAGAGGACGAATTCCATGAAATTCACGGCGAAAAAGTCACCGCGTTGGAGGAGCTATGTCCTCGGGATCAGCGGCAGACTTCGCCCGCGAAAAGTCCCGTAGCGTCCCCCGTAGCTGTTGTACGTTGCTCGCATTCTTATTAAGTCACCAAATTAGTAAGGATCGTATGTATTCCGCGAAATGGATCGTATGTATTCCGTAAACTTCGTATGTTTCTAGTAATGGATCGTATGTATTCCGTAAACTTCGTATGTTTCCTATAGTAAGGATCGTATGAATTCCGTAAAATTCTCACTGATGAATTCTTTGGCACCCCTGATGCTGTTAATCTTATTAACTTGTAACTTGATTATTCAAATTTTGCTCATGATTTACAGGTGACACCTAGCTGCGTGTGCACCACGCCGTTCTAACATGGCGAGTGAGCATGGAAGGGAAGAACGAGCGGGTAAAAAATTCGCCCAGGAAGACGCGCCACGTCCGCTTTGGTGGTAAGTTGTACTTTAACTTGTCATAGATACTCTCCGGACTACTGTGGATAAATTTCCTTGAAGTGATATGAGGCAAAATGACAGAACTTCGCAAATAAGTTGTGGCACCGACTCCCCACGTGTTAGTCCAGTGAATGTAAGTTCGAGTGGGGAGGGGGGCGGTAACAGAGTTTATTAAATTGTATGTATCAAAGACCATATCTTGGGTAATGATACACTTCTCATGGTGCTCAGGAAGGTGCATTTGTCGATAGGAAAGTCACCGAGAATCCAACATAGGTTCAAAGGAGTCTGTAAGAGAGGTGGTGTTTTGGTCTGGAACAGGTCAGGACTTAACTTTTCTGCATGTTGAGCGGCAAAAAAATATCCCAAACAGACGCCGAGAGGTTCAAACTCGACTTTGGTAAAATCTGAAATTGGAATTTTGATATTAGTCATGTAAACCGTAGAGAAATTAATGACAGAGCCATTGAGTTGAACAATGCTTGAATATAATCATTTGTATGCCTTGTTCAAGTTGTTGCTTTGTCCCCAGCTCCAGCAGTTCAGTATTTGACCCCACCTTTTATGAAAAATGTTCAAGATGGATGTGACACTGGGTAAAGTCATCATATGAGCTGTTTTATAACTTTAAGATGGATTTCTCACTTGCTGTTATTTAAAATTGCTGTGACAGTCATAAATTTTAACGTTATATTTACCTTTGCAGAATAGTCGTGGGTGTCTTACTTAAATTCTTGAGTACCTTTAGATACTTTAAAAAGTTTTATGCTGTTCACACTATTGCCAAATCACTGTTTTATTTCTGTAACAATTATGAGCTTGATCTGTTTTTCAATTTTCATGAATTGATATTTGAAAATTTCCATGTGTTGTTGCTAATAATTTAATGCGTGTCATCATAAGATGCATATTATGTTGTTAGTTGGATTGTGATATCTTACCCTGACATGTATTTTTATGTGACTTGTTATGTGACTACATGTAATGTTCAGTCTTATTCACTGTTGGCTGTGGTCTTCTTTAGCCTCACTTAATAAACAATGTTCCATGTGCTCTTCCCCCAACCAAAGCAGGTTTTAGAACAAATGGATTGTGATACCCTATGTCATATCTTGTATGAGATGTATTTAAAATTTTATAACAAATGTTGTGAATATTATGATGCATTGCATGTTATGTGAATATTGTAAACATTGTTGTATGTAAACTTGGCATGAGATTTTACTGAATGTTAATTTCTTTTACACCCTAGCTTATGGGAAGCTGAGACTGTACCTGACCATGTTCCTGTGTGTGCTGTGGGACCTGTCTGTATTCCTGTCTATATTTCTGAGGGATCCGTCAGCTATCCTGTGTACCTGTCTATTCAAGGAGGATTTGCCAGTGTGTGTTCCTGAGGGACCTGTCATCTACCTACAAGACAAGAGAACATCGGACCTTGACCGTGAGTTGGCTTTTAATTTTAGAACTCTTTCAAAAATGGGGTCTGCATACCGCAAAGTGTAAGCACTTAATTTGCGTAATGCGAAGTCAGGTCGTTATGAATTAATGTTAAACATGATCTTTGCATTATGCGTAAATCGTTAAGCCTGCACGAATGAAGTGTAATACCGAGTCACTGCTTTTGCGCCTTGCCATCTGAATTTTGCATAATTCGAGTCGACATGTATTGTGTATTACATTATGTGAAAAGCCTCCAGTTGCCTGCACTAATGAACACAAATCGTGGCCTCGCTGCCTTCCGGAATTTCGTGCAAAGCGTGATCAGGACCTCCCATGCAGACCCATAAAAATGACAATGAAACATGTGGGAATAGGGCATCTCTGTGATCCTCTGAATTTTTAGTTCCAAACACCTGATTATCCAAACTGGCCCTCTCTTCTATTCATTGTCATTTTTTATTGAAAGAGTTCACATTTCTTATACTAATATTTAGTCTTAAGGTTGTGACTAATATTTGTTTGCACTTTAATATGGCAGAGAACACAGTACATGTCCCTATTGAGGAAAGCAATATTGTTGTTTCATTCTGTATAGCAATGGGGTGTATTTTCAAAAACATTTGTGATCAAACTGTTTCCCTGATATCCTCATATAAAGAAACTCCTTTAATAATAATGAAATCATTCTTTAGCTGTCAAAAATGGATCCTTTAGAATTTGGAACAAAAACATTGTTTTAGATGATAATGAATGAACAAGGATGAAATATTACAAACATAGATGATCTTTATTGACACAACAAAAAGTACAGGGACTTTTGTATGGTCTTCTATAACTTAAGACCTAACAAAGCTAAATGCATGTAATACTATAGATAATGTCATCCTACATACAGAATATATGTATGCGGCAAATTACGTACAGAATATATGTCAGCAGTAACAACAAAGGTTTAACTATTCTCTAACTTATAGTCTCTAAGATTGAAACAACCTTTAATGTATTTCCCTATTTGAACACTGTATTGGTTATCTCCCCTAAGAATCTATGTATAGGATGTAACGTATTGAAATCGGTTGAACAAGTGGAAAGAAAAGTGAACAGCAATATAAGCCGCTTATCACTGTAGAGTGTACAATCCATTATGTCATTCTTCTTTTCATATGAAAGGAGCATTTTGGGCCATGATAATTCCAAAACTCTGATATGAATGAATCAGAAAATGAAATATGTTTTGGATAAATTTAGCTTTAAAGTTTAAGCCTGAATGTGTTGATCAAATTCTTGAAACCCTAGTGACACTTCAAACAGGTATTAAATGGTTGAGTTTGGGTAAGGATTTCTCGCTAACAAATCAACAAAAAAAGAAACAAATAACAGATCAAGATTTTAGCACTTGTACAGTTACTTTTGTTATATAAAAGGTTAATTACATAAAAGAATGACCCACAAATAACACGAGTAATTGAAACACGTTGGCATGACAGTTCTGAGTGCACACATTTAATCCACCCAACACACTAGTTTTTAACATTACACAAGCATAATTGTACCAGTTGAAGTCTGTTGTTCCTGTTGGTGGAAGGTTTTGTCCACGACATGCATCGTACAACAACTTGATCTGTTTTTATGCTTCAGTGAGGTGTAACTTTATCGAAAATTGGACAAAAGAAACATAGTATCCATGGCCCAGAATGTTCCTTTAAGTTTTAAATCCATGAAAGATAATACCGTCTAATTTTGTCATATTTTTTAAATGCTTATGAATTTGCAAAAATCATAG